GTAGGGTATTGCGGTGGTCGCAGAAAATTATTTTGGAACAACAAAAACCGTTGGTGTTGATACTTCCGAGACAGCGAGATTGCATAGATGTTTTGGGGGATGGGAAAAACAGGTGTTTTTTGCTGTTCACGCTCTGGGCGGATCGGTAGCAGTATTGGAACCACCGTTGGTACATCAATTATCCCAGCCGCCCGTCCCTCGTTGGCAATTGTGCCCGCCGGTTCGTGCCCCGCGGGGGGGGGGGGGGTCTATGCGGTGCCCCTCCCGCAAGGACATCAAGGGAGCGGTGGCGGCGGGGTAACAGCAGGCGGAGACGAGTGAACAAGTCCCACAAACACAGCCATAACAGCGACACTTTACAAAAACGGAAATGTTCCGGAACGACCTCGAGTCTTACGAGTGGACAACACGTGCCTCGCCCAGCGAATCGAAGCTCGCAACCTCCCCTCCAAAGACGAAAAAGCGGCAACAGCAGCAGCAGCACCACGAGCAGGAACACCGCACCCAAACAAACCACCACCTGCACAACAACGATTAACCTGTCACACCACAAGCGCTGACGAAAAGCGCACACACAACTTGCAGCCCATCACCAAAAGGCCCAAAAACAAGAATCCACACACACGCACGCACAACACGGGATCCCAGATCATGGCCTTCACAAGCATTTTCCGTTTTCAGCCGCGGTGAGATACCGGCGTCTTTTCATTGTCCCGCCGTTTCCATGCCAACAACAAACACACACGCACCTCCGAGGTGATGTTGCAAAGCGCGTCCGTCCTATCGTCCCGGCATACCATCGGGCTGTACAGGGCGCACCAGTCGTGGACCCACAGCTGCGAGGCCCCGTCCATGAGCGGGTGGGGCCCCACGATCTTCCCGGGCAGCGGCCGCTCCCGCGTGTGTCCGCCGTGGCACAGCGCGCACTTCAGCGTGCCCCGGTCGACCTTGAGCACCCCCCCGGCGGCGGCGATGGCGGCCTCCGCCGCCGCCCTGTCCGCCCCGCGAGTGCTGCGCCCGCCGGGGCCAGTCGCTTCCACCCCGGTCGGCCACTGCTCGATCTCCTCGTCGGAGTCGGCGGCAACGACCGACTGGTTGAACTCGTCAGGAATGACCGGCAGCTCCCCGCTGCCGCTACCGCCTCCGCCGCCGCCGCCGCGCCTTCCACGGGCTCTCCCTTTACCCTTACCCTTCCTCTTGCCCCCGGCCCGCCGGCCCGAGGACCGGGAACCCGCCCCCCCTTCGTCCATGTCGTCCTCGTCCTCCTCCACGTCCTCCTCCTCTTCCTCGTCGCTACTGAGGCTGCTCACCACGCCGCCACTGTTGTTTCGGCCTGCCCCCCTGCCGCGCGCCCCGGCCCTGCTCCGAGCACCGCTGCCGCTTCCACCGCCAGCCGTCCGTTCGAGCAAAGCCTGCTGCCGGCGCCTCGCCCGCTCCTCCCTCGACAGCGGCTCGTTCGCCCTTCTGCGGGAGCCCCCCCCGCCACCGGCCCTCCTCCCTCTTGGGGCGTCGTCGTACTCCGAGTCCGGGTCTTGGGCGTCATAGTCACCGTCCTCGTCTGAGATATCCAGGTAGATCTCGTCCTCCCCGGGGTCCGTGTAAAACCCTCGCTGGCGCGCGGTCGACGCCCCCCGGCTCCTGCCTCCGCTCCATGCCCCGCCTCCTCCTCCT